CCCTCCCCTCCCAAGCGCACGTATACTCCTGTCTCATCCTCCGTCTCCTCGTGCCCAGCGGCTGCCTCGATGACCTGCGTACCCTCTCACCCCTTGCATGTCCCTCTGCGGCCTGCGGCTCCCGTCGTCTGCCGGTCTCGACAGCTCGCGGCTATCCGAGCTTCCATCAGGCTCATCATGGACAAGTCGACCGTCACGTCAGCCATGGGCGAGGAGATGCGGCTATAGCGGGCCCTCCCGCGCCTACCGGGCCTTGTTGCTCATACAGAGCTTGTAATCATACGACTGTTGCTGTAAATAAACTCGTATCTCACCTCACGCCGTCTCCTAGTCGCGGGGCTCCTTGTAGGCGTTGGGGAGCGGGTCACCCATGTGTGTTATATTTTTTACCCCCTCACCCCACGTGTATATTTCGCACCATTTTGATGTGAAATTTTGCTATACTCAAAGTCTTGTGTATATCCTTACGTTCTCATAAGAGTTTCTGTCAATCTCTCAAAAAATTCCTTACCATTCCAATGTGAAAAAATTTCTCGCACCATAACAGTGTGGGATTTCTTCGAGAGATTGTGAGAATTCGCATGAGATAAAAAATAATGTTTAATCGGATGCTTAATTATTTATTCTATAGTGTCCAAGTGCCAAGCTACTAAATCCTAAAGATACGTCCCAATATCTTTTATCATCTGTATTACTCAAAGCAGTCTTAGACTGTTTTATTGTATAATTTTGAAGCTTAGAGCTTCTTATTCCATGTACCTTACAAGTTAGCGGTTTATTCTCAGAAACACATTTATCGTAGTCGTCATGTTTAATGTCAGTCTTTACAATAGCAGAAGGAACACCCTTCAATTTCTTCACATTTTCATATCCATCTTTCATGCTGTATTTTTTATAGGAGTAGCATTTTGGTCGTACTCCTATGAACTCTGACATAATTTTATCTCCTAGTTCATCCTTAAATTTGCCAATAACTTTTTTATTTGTTTCATCGTGTAAAGGGTTCTCTTTGCTGTACTCGCTCATATCAAAATGTTCGCGCATCTCCCATATATCGTTATAAAGATCTTCAGTATATACAGCAAAGAAGAAGCTATCTGTGTCTGTTGCTAGAAGCTTGAGATTTTCTTTATATTTTGGCTTCATTATGTTGTAATAGAAGTCGTACATTAGATATTTAGACAGGTCCAATATAGAGAACCCAGCATATATTGGCTTATCTAGTTTTACGCTTTCTTCTTTCAATGAAACTAATACCATTTCATTGTGTATAATTTCCCATTTAGTACAGTTAGGCTTATTTGAATATTTTTGTGCTTTCTCTAATGTAGTTGGTAGCTTTACCTTAACCCTATTTCTTACATTCTCCATAGTCTTACCAAATACAGCATTATTCATGAGCTTATAATAATCTTTTTCAAAGTCATTTTTTGATAATTTTCTTAGATCAGTGTTTTTATCAATCCAAGGCTTAAGCCATGCTTGCTGTTTATATGTGATAACTCTATGTATCTTTGTAAGCTCAAGACCTAAACTAAGATATAGTTTCAAGTTTCTATAGTCTATAACATAATTTTTCTTATTGTGAAGAGTACCACATAGCTTTTCACAATTACCAAGTTTTATTTTTTCAGGAGCTAAAGGGTAATCATTATGGTAGTCATGTAATTCTTCTGGATATCTTAAATCTACTTCTAGAGTTGCCCCCTCATCTTCTCTTAAACTTTCAATATCAAATAGTTCAGGATTTTTTAACCATGTAAAACCTCCAATGGGAAGAGGTAGAGACATAGCCCAACCGTAAAGATTATTAGCATCTCCATAATATAGATATGAAGATGGTTTATTAGGGTTATAATCTTCAAGATACTTATTATTAGCCTTAAATTTCTTACTCATTATGATAGACTGACCGCCTCTTATTCCTGCCTCATAGAATTCATACATTTCAATATCTGTCAAATTTTCAAGCTTGACATTTGTAAGCAAGAGCATAGCGGACCACCCATAGGAAGGAGTGCCAACAAAGAAGCAGGGGTCAAGTTTATAAGTCTTAATGCTAAGCTCTATAAAGCTTTCAAATACATCAGCTAAGCCATTAACATCTTTATGTAGATATATATCATGATACTCACCAAATGTTTTTATGTTAAGTGCTTCAACTGTTTCTAGAAGCTCATCATATTCTTCTTCAGAACATCCAGAGCTTCTTTTGATCTCAGACTTAAAGCTTTCTTTTTTAAGCTCAGTTATTGGATAGTCAAATTTTTCAATGCTGTCAAACCATTCATAAGGAAATATACCCTTACCATTCAAATATTTAAACTGTTCTTCTGTTTCACAAAGAGATCTCAAATATGTCCTTTTGTCTTTAGGAATGTTGTTTATAAGCTTTTCAAGTCCAGATGACATAAACCTAAAGCTATCTATAAAGGAGTATTGTCCAACCTTGAAGTATTTAAATTTCTCGGTATTATCTGGAATTACGCTTATTTCTTTAACATTGTAGAATTTGCCAAATTCTGTCAAGAATAGATTTTTATCATAATTGCTGTTATGAAATATGACTGGGATATCTATATTATTACGCTTTAGGTTAGCTTTTAAGTTACAATTTCTACACAAAGGCATGATGTAATCACCAGTGAAATGGTTATGATGCCTGCATTTATAATTTGTATGATCAAATACACATTTACAACAAGGACAATTTCTAGTTTTATTATACTCTTGTTTTTGCTCTGAGTTCATACAAATTGTTTTATAATCTTCATGTTCTTCAAGGGCTGAATTTATTGAGTTATTAAGTGCGTCTTTAATTCTCATAAGCAAGCTTGCAAACTCATAAGCGGGTTTTTCTCCTCGATACAAGTAATCATAAATATACTTATCATTTACTTTTTTATGATCAAACCCAATAAGCGGAATGTCTGAGACAATCAATATTTTAAAGCTGGCTGCCTTATGTTTACTGTAATATGAAGTGTTGCCATTCTTACTAATCTTTGTATCGTTATAATCTTGTATAGCCTCAAAGTCTCCATATATTCTAATAGGTAACTTATTAAGTGCGACATGCTTATTGAAGCTAATATAAATTTTTTCATTTTCTTCTTTTTGCTTTGGCATCTCAAGCCTTTGGTAATTATTTGTAATACAGAACTTCTTATGATTTTCTAGGGCTTGCTTACTTTTAAAGTTACATGTACAACATATGTCACAGAATAACGACCGATTATCTGTTGCGTCATGTCCTAACAATGCGTTGATGCTCTTAATATATGAGTAATGCCCATCATGTAGCATTAAATTTATGCGTTTCAAGCTGTGGTCTTTATTAGAAACATGAGATGTAACAATCTTTTTGTTAGTGATAGTATAAACATTTATTGCTAGGTTGTTTTTAGTCTCAAACTTACAAATATCTTTTACTTTCATAGGAAGCTCAAAGCCTTGATAATCCAATTTATCAAGATACTTATCATAGTTGCTTACTCTGTTAGGGTTCTTGATTTCTTTAGATGTTGGATAGAGATCCGCAAGAACTGAATATAAGAAGCATTTATCATCTTTGTTCTGAATATTGATAATAGCTCGCTTATTCTTAACCCAATCTGGCAGCTCCTTAAATGTTCCTCCGCTGGTAACCTGAGAATTAGCAAAGTATATCTCAATGTATCTTATTCCGACTGTGTATTTATATGTTAGATCTCGGATTAGTAATTGGTTTTTTAAAGTATTTAATAGTTCCTTCACATCTGTTTGATTTGTGATAAGCATAGCTTCTCCCGTTTCATAATCTGTTATTATTTCTTGATAATCATTGATAAATGAAGTTACAATCTTATTTTTTTGTATTTTGTTATCTATGGTTTCTTATTCTCCTTATCGAACTCGTTTAATACATTGCGCAATGTCTTTAAGTCTCTTCTATTGAACCACTCGTTGCCATAAGCAGGAGTTGTTAGCTCTTTCATCCTCCTCTTTGCTCTAAGTTCAAATCTTTCTTGTGGTGCTCCCTCTTGATTAGTTCCCTTGACATACTGATACCATACCCTAAGATGTAAAACTCTAAAATCACCATCATAATATTTTTCATAGTCTGATAACCTTCTTATGATCTCGCTGCTGCCAACTGATGAAATCCCTAGCTTAATCAAGTCACCCTTACCATTGACAGTCTTAGGAGTTCTGATGACATAGAAGGCGGATGTATTTAGATATTCATCATATTTTTTCTTGAAGTCTAGCCATTTCATACCTAGGTCATCATTTGAGTTATATACTATTTCACCATTTCTGCTCCCTCTTAACTTGCTCATAATTTATTTACAGGTAATAAATAAATGAACGGATCACAGAGGAATAAGTACCGATTAGATGAGGCTTACAGGAATAAGAAGAAGGCATATAGCCGTGAATATTACCGCAATAAGGTAAAACTTGAAAATTCTAAGCTGTACAAAGAGATTGCTATAATAAAAGAAAAACAAATATTATATTTTGATAATGACATAAGTCATGACACTAGCTTTTGGAGTGATTTCAATGCCAAAAAATTAAATATAGCTAAATGATAAAATATGAATTATGACAACCTCAACTGGGTTGCTGGTAGGGGGTATCAATTGTCTCAAAGAGAGTTAAGGAACACATCAAACCAACTCAGTGGTGAAATAGGAGCACAGAGAGATGAGATAATAGCTTACGTTGATAACGAGCTTAAGAAATATTATAATAAGGGTGAGATTGACTTTAGTGTTTATACCAAGAATGAAACTGATACAATTATTAAAGATGAGAGCAATGTGCTATATGGCCATATAATGACACACTCAAACATTCTGTTTGATTACATCTAAAACACAAGTAATATATTATTAACATCTGCTATCAATGAAATTAATACTGAGAGCAATGTGCTATATGACCACATAATGACACACTCAAACATTTTGTTTGATTACATCTATCATACCAGCAATATTTTATCATCATCTGCTAACAATGGAATTAACACTGAAAGTAATGTGCTATATGGCCACATAATGACACAATCAAACATCTTGAATAATACTATATACAGTGAGAGCAATGTGCTATATGACCACATTATGACACATTCAAACATCTTGAGTACTACAATATACAATGAGAGCAATGTGCTATATGGTCACATCATGACACATTCAAACATCTTGAATAATACAATATACAGTGAGAGCAACGTGCTATATGGTCACCTCATGACACATTCAAACATCTTGAATAATACAATATACAGTGAGAGCAATGTGCTATATGGTCACCTCATGACACATTCAAACATCTTGAATAATACAATATACAGTGAGAGCAACATATTGCGAGCATGAGCAAATACCGACCTCATTTGACTGGACAACTCAAATAACAGGAACAGATAATATAATAGATGTAAATAAACTTATTGATGAGAGAAACCTCTTGGCTGCCGATTTATCCTCAATCTTTGGCCATCCTTACACTTTCTTTGATACAACTGTTGAGCCTACCCTTATAAGTGGCAATGATTATTATCTTAAATTTACATATGATGGTATAGGAAATAGCACAACATACGAGATAAATTTTCATTATGACACTGTCTGCGATATTCTCATTGTCGGTGGTGGAGGCTCAGGCGGTCGAGGTGCTAGCTCAGCCGCAGGGGGTGGGGGTGGGGCTGGTGAGGTGGTACATCTAATTGATTACAGAATAGACACTGGTACGTACAATATAGTTGTAGGAAATGGAGGAAGCGACAGCAACGGTTATATATCATCGTTTGGAAACATTCAGGCTAACGGTGGTGGTAAAGGTGGGAGACTTGCAAATGGCAACGATGGGGGGAGTGGTGGAGGAGGAACTTACCATATTCTAATGGAGGTGCTAGCGTCAAGCTTTCAAATGGATACGGAAACTCTGGCGGTAGCAGTGCCGGAGGATTTACTATAGGAGCCTCAGCCGGTGGGGGTGGTGGCGCTGGTGGTCCTGGAGATGATGCAAGCAGTTCCGTAAATCAAACACTGGGAGGTGTTGGAGTATCAATAGATATCACAGGAGAAGACATTATATATGGAACAGGTGGAAGGGGTGGGGATAAAAATAATAATGTGACAGGCATTGATGCTCAGAACCATTCAGGAGACGGCGGAGAAGGAGGAGGGAAGGGCAGCTTTTTTTTGAGTCGTTTCGGTGGAAAAGGCGGCTCCGGTGTGGTTATCATACGTTTTAAGAAAGCGACGCTCTTTAATGGCGACTATAACAATCTCATCAACAAGCCTACACTAGCAACCATAGCAACAAGCGGCTTATACTCTGACCTTTCAGGAGCTCCAACACTGGCAACGGTAGCAACAAGCGGCTTATACTCTGACCTATCAGGAGCTCCAACACTGGCAACGGTAGCAACAAGCGGCTTATACTCTGACCTATCAGGAGCTCCAACACTGGCAACGGTAGCAACAAGCGGCTTATACTCTGACCTTTCAGGAGCTCCAACACTGGCAACGGTAGCAACAAGCGGCTTATACTCTGACCTATCAGGAGCTCCAACACTGGCAAACATAGCAACAAGTGGCTTATACTCCGACTTAACAGGAGCTCCAACACTGGCAACTGTGGCAACAAGCGGCTTATACTCTGACCTTTCAGGAGCTCCAACACTGGCAACTGTGGCAACAAGCGGCTTATACTCTGACCTATCAGGAGCTCCAACACTGGCAACGGTAGCAACAAGCGGCTTATACTCTGACCTTTCAGGAGCTCCAACACTGGCAACTGTGGCAACATCTGGCAGTTACAATGACTTAAGCGACAAGCCGACTATATTAAGCTATGGTGATATTAATGTACAAGCATATTTAACTAACAATAATTATATAACAAGCACCGACCAATACATACAGAGTGTTTCATCTGATTTTAATGTCACAGGTGGATTGCTTACATATACCGGTTCATCTTCACAATGGACCACAAGCGGGACAGATTTAACATATACCGGAAATATTTATGTAGATGGTAATATCATATTTACAGGTTATGAATATGACCAGACAACAAATGTATCTAATGGATACACCGCAATGACAGGCGCTCAGGTTTGGCTCCCATACACTGGCACAGCTTGGTCTCCGATATACCATATCAACAATGTTGGATATATCTACACACAAACTTCTGGGGTGAATACAGTGGCAGATGAAACACTTACGTTTAATGTCCCAAGCGGTAAATCTCATATGTATATCAATCATCTGCCTTGGAATAATTGTGGGTATTTTGATGTATATGGGCTTCTTTCAAATGGGACTTGGTTATTTGTGTGCCGCATCAACAATTACAACCCTAACACACAGAACTCGACTGAACATAGCGGGGTTACAGTAAATGAGATAGGAGCAGTGAATAGGTTTGTAAAGATTAGAATAGATGCAAGAAAGGGGAGAATTCATTTGATGGGCATAGGATGGTCGCAAAAGAAGCACGGTGTTACAAATGGCGGATGGACAGGATACATACACTGGGACAACGTTGTAAGCATACCATCCATATTATCAAACCAAAATTTACTATTCAACAATATGGGAAACAATCACGGAACATATACAGACTTCAATAGCATATGAAGATATTCAGTATGTACCACCAGATAGGAACAGAACAAGAAGGGTTAAAGAGATCTCAACCAATACATTTGTAAGGATTAAGCATCAAGGTAAATTTTATCTTGGAGTAATATATGATATTGTAATTAATAATAAGAAGCCGTGGTTTAGTGTTGTATTCTTTGACGATAAATATAATGTAAATGTTAGTGACGTAGGAGGTTATAAAAAAGATGAGGTCAAAGAAGGAATTTTAAATTTTGAGGAATGGGAGGATAAAAATCCAAAGTTAGCAAAAGAACTAAGGGCTACATGGTCAAGGGCTAGGAATGAGTATGGGTTACTCTAAACAACTGTTTTAATTTACTAAACAGTGACTTCTTTTTTGGAGGGGTAAGCTTGACACCGATTGTGTCTAGCACATTAAATCTAGTCCAAGGTCTCTCTAAGGCCTCGCAATAATAAATTTTGCCTTCTTCTAAAAGCTGATAAACCATTTATTAATACTTTACAAAATTAGTAATTCATAATACATATGTGAGTTGTTGTCTTCTTCTTGTTTCCTTCACTACGTAAAGAGTTTTGATATTGCTTTTTGTACTCACCCTCATCTTTAATATAGTCCTTAAATATTATCTTAAAAAGCCAATTATTCTCGTGACATATTAGCATCTTGCTTTTAAAATTCTTAAAACCTATTTTTACGAAATATTCATACATATTAAGCTTATCACTCGAATAAAAGTTATTATTTGATGCTATATATGGAGGGTCTAGAAACATAAAGACATTATCCTTATCATATTCTTGTATAACATCGCAACCATCCTTATTCAATATGGTTATATCCTCTGATGTTAGAAAGTCATATATTGGATAATCTGAAAATTTAAACTTTCTTTTAAATACACTTTCAGGAGGAAATAAACCAACCCTAAAATTATAGTACCTATTTGCCATGATGTAACCTGTTAATGTTTTGCTTCTTGTGAATTTGTTGTATTCTTCTTTTGTTATAATTATTTCTTCATCCTCATCTCTGATAACATCGTTAATCTCTTTTTCTATTTCATCCATCCGCTTTTTATCTCCTGATTTCACAAGGGTTAGAAGCTCATATAACTTATTGTCTAGGTCATTTAACACGTACTTAAATCTTTTTGTTGGGAATTGCTTCCATATGTAATAAGACACAGCACAAGAACCACAGAATGGCTCGCATACCGTGTCGATATTTTCAAAATTAATCTTAGAGTATATACGCTCTACCTCCTCCCTCTTATTACCAGCATATGAGAAGAAAAAATGGTTCTTCATTTATTGTTGTGGCATATTTTATTTTTAAGCCCGCCTCAGAACATCCAAATTTGCTTTTTTTTTTTCCGTATAGTAGGTTTTGAACTGAGGAGTTTGAGGATGAAGAAAAAGGTTTCATCCACTGTCACAAATGGATATTTTCAATTTGAGAAGACAAACATTATATATTTTTTATCTCATGCGAATTCTCACAATCTCTCGAAGAAATCCCACACTGTTATGGTGCGAGAAATTTTTTCACATTGGAATGGTAAGGAATTTTTTGAGAGATTGACAGAAACTCTTATGAGAACGTAAGGATATACACAAGACTTTGAGTATAGCAAAATTTCACATCAAAATGGTGCGAAATATACACGTGGGGTGAGGGGGTAAAAAATATAACACACGCTAGATGACGCTGCTGCCCAAGGCATACGCCGAGGGGCGCAAGAGGCCTGACTGAGGGCGGCGAAGGATGCCGTGGCGTGTAGTCTGCTCTTTGTTAGGAAAACTTGCTACAAGTGTCTCTCGATCGGATCCCGGCAAGAAACCAAAGTTAGCGTGCGAAAACAATGCACAGTCCAACGGTACTTTACTTGAATCCAACATTAAAGATAAAGAAAAGTAAGTAATATTTCTTCAGAAACGATACTGCCTAGGACACCTACTTAAGAGAGACAAAAAGTCAGCAAACATATCCGATCTTTTCGCTCCCTAGCGCTGTTAGATGAGAACACACTTCTCAGCCCCACCTCGCTGCAAACACCAAGAATCAATGAGCATTCACAAGATTGAAATCACGAATTGTTTTCTTGAACTCTGGAGTGCAAAATTCACGTGTAGACAACCAAGAATCATCCGACGACTTGTCATATCCTTTCCAACGAACCAAGCACTGCACACGATTACCTTTTCCACGACGAGCCAGAACACGATCGACCTCGAAATACTGTCCATCTCGTTGAACTAAAGGCAAAGGTTGTGGTTCACTCTCTTCCAAAGAAACATCGCGAAAATAGTAAAAACGAAGTTTCGCCACGTTGTTTATCACCATTCTCCGTTGAGAACTGGTCTTGCTCAGCCATCGGGAGAGTAGCCGGGGGCCACCATAGCTGCACTTCTGGACCGAACGCAGAGATCGCGGCGCCTACCCACCTATGACGTGAGATGCGGTGAAATTTACATCGACCTTCCAGATACCCGATCCATGAGACGACTGATCTCTCCATTGTCTGCTCGCCATTGTACTGCAGCAACGACTTCGGATCCAGTTTGCGGCAAATCTTACCACCCGGTCATTCTCCGCATGCTTCGCCGGGCTTGGTAGGCTTGACCTCGGGTTCCTGACCCCTCCTCCTTCATGCTCTCAGTCTCCCCGCCCTGCTCCCCATCCTTCCCTGCCTCGTAAGCCTGCCATGATGTCCAGCTTCGTTCCCTCGCAGCAGCCATCCGTCTCATCCAGGAGGCCTTGTGAGTCCATCCAAGGACAGAGCCGCCCCCTTTCCTCCTTCCCCTCTCCCCCATTATATCTCTGATGGCCTCAGCCTCCCTCTCGTGCTGCTCGCGAGGCTCCGCACGCCCTCAAGGCTCTCGACCGCTCCGGGTCAGCCGATACGCTCCTTCCCGCTCCTGTGGATTAGGTCCTGATTGGACTGCCAGGCACGATGTCCGACTGGACTCGAATGTCGAGTCCTGTTGCGATCTACAACGGGTTGGGCAGGAAGAGCGTCCTCCTCCAATACGCGCGCGATCGTATTCCTGTTTGAAGCCGCCTGAGAGCGAGAGGGGAGGGCTGCTATAGGCCTGAACGTGCTCTACCGCCACGGGAGCACGGGATTCCTCCCTCAACTGCGGTGAAGAAAATATTTGTCCTTCTCCCGCTTCATTGCTCTGTCTGCCTGAATTCATCTTCATGAATTGTCGGCTCAATGTCTTCTCGGCGTTCATACGCGCTTTGCCGAGTTTCGGCGGACATGTCGATTTGTTTCGATAAATACTTTTCGAAGATTGAAATTGCACCAACTTGCGATCAAATGTTGTACACACAACCTTCGGGAATGAGGGAGATCACCAGAGCGATGACTGCTGTGTGAAGCGCCTCTAGGGGAGTATCTCGTCGTCGACTCTCTACCTCATCATCGTATCTGAGTCAGTATGAGCATTCCTCCAGTGACTCCTAACGCACTCGAGGAAGATGTCGGATCTTACTCACATTCCAGGGGGCATCGGGGGATAGTCGCGACATCCTGGTATCGTGATCGCCACGGCTGCTCCCGACCTGCTCTGTCATACATATCACTACCTTTTGTTTACCTGCATTGTTCCTCCTTCCCCCCCCCCTTCTTCAAGTCTTCCGTCTCCCCGCCCTGATCCCCATCCTTTCCCGCCTCGTAAGCCTGCCATGATGACCTGCCGTACCCTCCCTCCCTCCTCCCTACCGTCCCCCGTCTCTCCTTCCTGCCCGTTCCTCCAGCCTCCTAGATCCCGTCAGCAGCAGCTTCGATCCCTCGCAGCAGCCATCCGTCTCATTGAGGAGAAGCGAGTGCTCGAAGCCGTGACGGGGGAGGAGCTGCGACTCTGAGCGAGGCAGCCTGGACAAGAGGACCAGTCACAGGTCCACGGCTACGGATCGCCTCCAGCACCGACGCGCTCGCAGGTCAAGGGGCAGCCGACATTGCGATGCTTGTACGCTCGCGGCAAGCCAAGAAGTCCAAGTAGCGTCGTAGGTGACGACAAGAGGTTGAATGTGAAATAAAGCCACGTGTACACTAGCAGACTAGCATGTGAGACTGGGGTAGACGATGGTGATTGAGCTTGCTTTCATTGGTACACCCGTGACCTGTAGTGAGGCTGTAGGACTCAGCTAGGATGAGAGCAGTGACACCCTTGCGTCCACGGACCTGTGAAAGGCACCTGAGCACAGGCCCAAGCCAGAGCTGTCTCAAGTCGTACCCGACAGCGATGATCTTCTTGCAGGGGTTGGCTGCTACCTGTATGCTCCTGTTGCCGAACTTGCTCGCTTCCAACCGGCTCTGCATACACTTTCGTCAGGAGCTCCCGACGGCACGGCTCCTCCTCTAAGCGAGACCTCGCAGACGCATCTCTGCTTGCGAAGGTCCCATACACGGCACGTTCCATCCGCGCCTCCTGTCATGACCTGAAGCACTGTCAGCAACATCCGCTTGCTCCTCAGATGGGTCAGGCTGTACATATAGGCCAGTGCCGTCGATCGTTACCGATACGACTGGGGCATCGTGGGCTGGGAGCTGGAAGACTGTTTTCCCCCTGCACACTGCAGGTCAGACGATACTCTCCTTCCTGCTCTTGCACGAGCTTGCCTGCTCAAGTCTACTGCCGTCAGGACAGAGTCGAGATGACCTATCACAGCCAAGGGGAAAGTGGGGTGGACTGCCAGGCACGATGGTGCCTTGGATGCGCAAGGCGTGCTCGAGTTGTGCTCCGACTGGACCAGAAAGTCTAGCCTCACAGTTTGTGAAGCGACGTCAAAGTCTGCAACAGCACCGTTGTCATACAAGGCAAAGAAATGGTCCGCGTCTTGGGGGCTGGTTTCAATGGCGATGGCTACTCCGGGCTCGGCCAGAGAGCCTTGCCGACGGTAGTCGTGGACAGCCGGTCGGTCATGGTCTTGAATGTTGCCGCCCTCGATCAGTTCGGAATCTTTGGTCTCCAGCAAGTCCCCGATGCTCCATCCTTTCACTATACCGTCGGCAGATCCTGAGATGAGGAATCGATGCTTTGCGGTGTAGGTTATCGCCCACACAGCATCGCTGTGATACGTATAGCACATCCTCTCGTTGCGAACGCTGCAGCCCACGCTATCGTAAAGATCCTGCTCTACCTTGGGTGTATCCCACAGGCGGACTGATCCGTCAAGCCCTCCACTCACGCAGAAACCGTTTGGGTCCCCGCGACCCGCGGAGACTGTGATTCCGCAGTTTACAGCTCCATTATGACCGCGATACGTGATGAGCGGCTCGATGTCGGGCACCGTGTTAGAGGCCTGCACGGACTATGATGACTCGTAGGCTGAACTACACCAGCTCATAGTCACCTTCGTGACTGCCTTGATGCTCTTCAGGCACCATAGCTTCAAGCAGCCGTCTTCAGAGGCAGACAGGAGGAGCGAGCCGTTCGAGTTCCAGCTGAGATCGTTGATGCTGTCCATGTGGCTTCGCAAAGATGCAAATTCACGGTATCCCTTGATCTCTGTCGTCGATTCTTCGAACGGTTTGAGCTATTACTCTGTAAGCCCCATACACACACTCAGGTTGTTGTTTGGACCTTGTTGCCAAAGAAAGCAGACATGTCATCGACTTGCTCGCCTTCTGTACAGACTATCTCTGCACGAGCTTCGACCTGTTCTGTGCTTTCAAATAGATGTACTGAAGCGGCCTATCTCACCTCAACATCCTCTTCCTTCTCTCGCGCTGCCTTAAGCAGAACTGTACTTGCTCCGTCAAAGTTCTGCGTCAAAGATATCAGCCATGATCATCTTTTTCCGATCCAGGTGCCTGAGGGAAGCAGAATTTATTAGTGTGGATCTCCTTGGTCGACTGTCGCTCCTGTCATCATCTTTACCAAGTCGCGCATGACAGAAAACTTGTCGCAAGTACCATCTTCAATGCAAGCTCCAATATTTCAATCCGACGAGCAGATTCTTCGTCTCGCTCTTTGTAAATCTTCAGCTATCAAATGCAGAAAGTTATGACCTCGAGCATATTTCATGAGCACCCTATTCTAACCTCGTTCTCCACAGCCTTCAACTTCTCCTCCAGCACCTTGATCTTCTTATCCCTTTCGTCTAGCTCCTATTCGTCAGGTTAGCAACGAGCTTCTCGCAAACAGGACGAATAGGCATTCAACCATTTCCTTAAAAGTTTCAAATGACTCGAGGTAAGATATCACACCCTGTTAGCATCGTCAAAACAAGCACGGCATGTACACTCACAGATCCATCGCTACCTGCATGGTGTACTTGGGGCGATCCTGCAGAAACGATTGTATAGCTGACATCCTCCTTTCAGACTTTCTTGATCTGCCTCCTTTGTATTCAACTCACAAGAACCTGATTAGGAGGAGCGTGTCACTTGCATGCAACAAAAGTATCCGGCCAGCTACCTCTACTCTCTCATTTCGCCGCCATTTTCGATACTAGCTGGGATACCCGGCTTTGTCTTTCTAAAACAATGTATCTCCAGTACCGGGGGCGCCCGCCGGCGCGGCGCCGGGCCGCGGCCCGGGCCCTCTACTGACGGTATGGGCCACCGTCTGGCACCGTGACTGTTGGCCGCTACCGTTGACTCCGACCCGGCGTACTAGGCTGGCACCGGCGACTGAGCCATGGTCACAGTCACGAGTGGCAAGGTTTCACTGTCCGGTCGCACAGTGACCGGGGCCATACCGTGCAGGCAGTGCCGGGCCGGCCGCGGCCCGGGAACTTCGGAGAAAAGACAGCGCTGAGAACTGATGGAACGTATGCCAGCCGTGCCAGTCAGATAGCGCCGAGTTAACAAAAACTCTCCTGTAAACCAAGACGACTTACGTGTCAAGGCGGCAATGTAGTACGTATGATGAAGAGGAGGCCTTCCTAGCCGTCTTGCTAAGGTCCCCTCATGTCTGGTTGCTTGGGTTTCACATCCTAGCATACAGTCTATCTCTCATGTGCTCCTCAATTCTGGTTTTTGTGTGCATTAAACTCGGTCTTGAGCAAAAACTGTCTTGTTACAACTAAGGTCGATGTGACATCTGCGTGACTTTAGACTAGTACAAGTCTAACAAACTTGTATTCCGTCGGTTATGGGCCCCGATTACATGCTCAATCATGTTGATCTTATATTTGGTTAGTTGAATTGTTTACTGGAGTTTTTTCTTTCTTGGTATCGTTTCGTTACTGTCGAAAATTCATGCAATTCAAGCCTTACAAATTCGGATGACTCTTCTCTTCAATCAGGCTCTCTCTCTAGCCGCAAGTTGTTTAGGCCTCTCATCTCAGCCTCAATTTGTTTGATTGATCTTCGAATAGGAAAAACAAGCCTTCCCCAGCCAGATTGGTCGGTCGAATATCTGCTTAACCGTGTGGAAACGCACTTGAAGCTGATTCGATTTTAATCTTCTTGATCTTTGAGTAGGATCAAATGGAACTACCAGGAGATCTGGCGGAAGTTTCATGTCATGGAGCTAGGCTGTGGCATGCATAACTGGAGCTACTTCTGGATCGGCGAACAAGGTACTACTGCACAACAATCTTCAGATGCCTTGAAACGGATGTTCCAATCTCGCGGCAGCAATCTCTGGTCACAAGTTCTTTACGGTTCAAAAAATTTATCTTTTGGTCTTCAAATGCCGGCGGGCACGCTCTCTCTCTCTCTCTCTCTATCTCTCTTATCTTCTCTCTCTTCAGACTCTCTTATCCTATACTCTATCTCTCGTCATTGCATCCGCTCGCCAGGCATCTCCCCTTATCTCTGTGCCGCACATCTAACAGCCCTGCATGAAAATCTTCTTCAGAATGGACAATCCTCGAATGGTTATTGCCCACTCAGCATGACTGTGAACTTGACGTTGTATCATCGTATCTTGACTTGGATCTGCTGACATTCTCTTGTTTGTGTGACTTTCTGACGTCCGATGTAACGTACTATTTCAGAAACTCGGGGGGAGGATGGAACGTATGCCAGCCGTGCCAGTCAGATAGCGCCGAGTTAACAAAAACTCTCCTGTAAACCAAGACGACTTACGTGTCAAGGCGGCAATGTAGTACGTATGATGAAGAGGAGGCCTTCCTAGCCGTCTTGCTAAGGTCCCCTCATGTCTGGTTGCTTGGGTTTCACATCCTAGCATACAGTCTATCTCTCATGTGCTCCTCAATTCTGGTTTTTGTGTGCATTAAACTCGGTCTTGAGCAAAAACTGTCTTGTTACAACTAAGGTCGATGTGACATCTGCGTGACTTTAGACTAGTACAAGTCTAACAAACTTGTATTCCGTCAAGAACCAACCCTCGGCCTGGCATCCTGCCGAGCCTAGTCCGTGTGACTCAGTGACGGTTACCGTAAGCACCGATACCCGGGTGACCCGGCCGCGTACTGTCGGACGGTCCGGCCGCCCCCGGCGGCCCGGCCCGGCCCCGGGCCCGGGGCCCGGGCCCCGGCCTGCAGTGCGGCGCCGCGGCCCGGCCCGGAAAGTTCGATCTACAGCTGGTTGAACAGGGGTGGGTATATAGATACCCCACCTACCCCTTTTACTTCTACATCATCACGAAAGGGGGGGTATTCATTCATGATGAAAAGATCAGACAGAGTAAAGAGGTACGATTGTCGACCAAGCAGGGTGGGGTACCTGGTGGGGTACCCTCATCCATGGCGACCCCAGCTTTTCAGTCCTCTTGAAAGGGGTGTCCGATTATAAGAGGGTGGGGTGGCTCTGAAGCCTCAGATGCAAAAGGAACCCCTCTGCAGGGGGTGGGTCTGGCCTTTGTTGCAGGTATAAAAGTATTGTATTAATCAGGATAAATTATTGTAAAACATTTTTAGAAAGTTTGTGCCTCCGATAAAACATTACCCAGTATCATATATGTTATCCTTTCTGTACCATGATGTACAAATACTATCTGCCAAAATTTCTAAATACAAACAGAGACTTTTTTCAATTTGTACTGATTATCTTTATTTCATTGTATCAACTCCCAAATATCGTACAGATTATATATGAATATTTTATCTTGATAGGATCTTTTTTCTGTACATAGTTGTATTTTCTTTTACAATACTTCTTAGATCGGCCTCATCAGAGGACAGGTGGCGAAGCAAACGATTGCGCATCTTCAACGACGGGGTAGTCTCGTAAAAGGGTGGGGTAGTGGTCTCAGGTGGTCATTGGGGGCAGTGTGATTCCAGATTGGGGGCTCCAAGGTGGGTACTTCACAAAGGGTAGGGTCTGAAATGATGGGGCCATAGGAACTGGGGTAGAACATTGAAATCTCCAATTTCGTGAACAAAGACCTTAAAACACTGATTTGTATTGGGAAATATATCGTTCATAATTGAATATTTACGCAAATAATTGGTTGTCTTATTTGAAAGTTGTATTAATGAATCCTGAATGAAATTACTGTATGGGCAAGAGATGGGGTAGTAGTGTGGATAGTGAACCCTACCACTACGGGTAGGGATCATCATGACAAGATGGTGGGTGATAGAATAACAAAGTGGGGGTAGGGTCCTTTACGAAACCGGTGTCCAAGTATCCAATGTGACGGGGGTTGTTCAAAAGAAGGGGTGGTTTCTACAGGGGTACGGGTGGTGGGGGTGGTCGGTAGCAGCACAAAAAGCACAATGCAGGGCGCGCAGGACGCAAGAATAGTGCGGGACCGAAGGAGATTGGATAGATAGATGAAGAATGTGAAACAGAATCTGTAGAACCTAACAGACGGTATATACTAGACGAGGGAGAAAAGTCTTGATGGCTTTGATGGGGAATGAGCAAGAAGTGTAAACTTAATGAGCAGGTTGACTTTGTTGCAAGGGTAGAAATGGACCGCCAGGAGACTGGAAGAGAGATCCTATAGATCTGTAGAAATTCTTTAAGTCATGCTGATTCCGTCTGATCTGATTGGTTCCTTTATTCATGAGGGGGCTGACGGGCCATGATTTGCATTTGAGAGACAAGGGCAGAGTGCTAGTTTGCTACAGCGTACAGAGTGTTTGCAAGATTGTTGTATTTGTTGTCTTTGCTTGGCATAAAAATCTATAGCCACCTTGCGAGCTTAATGTCAATCTTCCTTCTTGTTTCCGATGTTCTCTGACCTTTTGCTCTAGTTTCCCCAACTGATCCACTAGGCATAATGCAAAGGGTCTCGGCGCGAGCTCTCCGATTTGCTACGAGGAGAGAGGCCTCAAAGTTTCTCTCTGGTTCACTTGCAGTTCAGGCTTCCAGGCTATCAAGACCCATGGGGGTGTTGAGTTTCCAGTCCAGGAGGAACTTCTCCGCTGGTGCCAACCCAGCTACTACCTCTCCGATTGAGGTCACCATCGAGCCGATGAAAAAGGATGATTTCAATCAGGTGCCTCTACAGTTTACTCTCTGTTTACTTAAGCTCATTTCTTTCGTTCCAGTTGAACAATGACATGACTCCAAGACAAATTGTGGATTATCTCAACAAGCACATTGTTGGACAACAGGATGCGAAGAGGGCGATCGCGATCGCTATGCGAAACCGATGGAGACGAATGAAGTTGGAAAGCCCTCTGAAAGATGAAGTCATGCCAAAGAACATCTTGATGATTGGTCCTACAGGGGTAGGCAAAACTGAAATCGCCCGCCGCCTTGCGAAGCTTGCTGGCGCGCCTTTTATTAAAGTTGAAGCCACGAAGTATACCGAAGTCGGCTTTCATGGCAAGGACGTTGATACTATCATCAAGGATTTGGTAGACATTGCTGTAGTGCTGCAGCGGAACAAGATGAAGGAACAATTGAAGCAGGAAGTCGCGATCGCTGTGGAAAACAGAATTCTTGATATTCTTGCTGGGGATGTTGCACAGTCAAGCACCAAAGAATCTTTCCGTGCATTGTTGCGTGAGGGCGCGCTTGAGGACCGCACAATCGAAATCGATCTGCCTGTCAACCCTGGGAATCGCAATCCGCAAGATAATCGTGGATTTCAATTCGGCGATTTTGTCCTCAAGATGGACAATACTATGGGCAACAAGACTCAGACGAAGAAGATGAAGATCTCTGAATGCAGACCCATCTTGGAAGACCTTGAAGCTGACAGGATGATGAATTCGGAGACGATTGAGCGCGATGCGATCAAGAATACAGAAGAAAATGGAATTGTGTTCATTGATGAGATCGACAAGATTATTGATTCTTACAGCTACGGGGCTGATGCTAGTGCTGAAGGTGTTCAGAGGGATCTTCTTCCTTTGATCGAAGGATGTTCGATCAGCACCAAGTATGGAAACGTGAAGACAGACCATATTCTTTTCGTCTGCTCTGGAGCATTTCACTCGGCCAAACCTTCAGACTTGCTCGCTGAGCTGCAAGGAAGGCTGCCCATTCGCGTTGAATTGAAGCCTTTGACCAAAGAAGACCTTTTCTTGATCCTTACCGTGCCGGAGTCAAATTTGATCAAGCAGCAAATTGCCCTCCTTGGGACCGAAAATGTACAGTTGGTGTTCCCAGAGGAAGCTGTCAGGTACGTTGTCTGTTTTATTGGTACACTTTGCTGACTTTGGATTGACATTTTTCCAGGGACATTGCGAACATCGCGTTTGAGATGAATACTACTATCGAGAATATTGGTGCACGTAGATTGCACACGGTACGCATTTGATGAGTGAGCGATTGGACTAGTTCTGATCCTTCGAGCAGGTCCTTGAGAAGATCGTCGATGAGATCTCGTACACTGCAGACGATCATGCAAGCCAAGAGTTCAAGATCACGAAAGAGTATGTTCAAGAAAGGGTGAAGGAGATCATGGTCAAGAGTGACCTGACGAGATACGTCTTGTAAAATTCCATGAGATAATCATGTCGCGGTGCATGTTGATATCTACATTCATTCTTTGTCGATGTAACCTTCTTACCATTCCTGAGGCTGATCTCCGTTACCTATTCATACGGGGCTAATGGTTGCTTGTTGATATAAAGTATCCTAGATATTCGAATGCCATTCCTCCTTGAAATGAAAGGAGTATTGGCTGAGTGATACAACATGTTGATTAATTAGAGCATACAAGTTTACAGGTCTGACATCTTCTGCTGAGATGGTGTGAACTGTTGGTTTGTTTGTCCGCTCCCTGGTCGAGTTGTTGGTTGCCATCTCGGATTGAACTTCTGCTGATTCGTGGGCACCGGCGTGCGCTCGTCTCTCGGGCCTCTTTCGGGCCGAGGGTTCGGATGAAAGCTTCTGCCGTTCTCGGTGCGCTGCGGGAACCTCCGGCGATCAGGCTGGGGCTTGCCGTCGTAGTGTGGCCGATTCTGCAGCAAGGAATGAGCCGAGCTAAGTCTACACGGGCTTGCCTGGTGGAAGTTGGGTGTTTGCATCCTGTTGTAGGGCAGATTTTCTATCCGCTGAGGCGTTGGTATCCTCCTTCCCTCGTACCTAGAGTCCGGCGTTCTTGGTGAGGAGTCTCGGCGGCTTGCGGGAGACTGGAAAGAGGTCAAGGGATCGATCTAGCGCTCTGTGAAAGATCAAGACCTGGGTATCTGGTCTCTTGCGGATGGCGTCCGTGGGCGAAAGCGCTATGGTCCCTTCCCAGAGTGTCAGTGGGAGATGGGAAGCAGGAGGAGGGTAAGGAGGGAGGGAGGCGTTGTAGGGGAGGAGGGGTGGTTTGATTTGAAAGCATTACTCGATATGCGCGTGTTGGATTTTCTTTTGTTCGGCCTGTCATGTCTCAATTTCAGTATGGGAGATCACAACGGAAGCGGCGACTCTACCGTCCTCTATCACTCTGGAAGCCCTTCTGCTTGTTTGTGAACAGCTTGTTCGGCTGCGGATGAAGCAGTTCTCTCCTCTCCCTTCCTCCAGCGTATCCTCTTGCCGTTCGGTTCAGCCCTGCAGCAAACTTCAGTCTCACTCCTGTCGCCTGCTCTTCCTGCACCCGTCGCGTCCACATCCATCATCTCCTGGTCCACCTTCTGCAGCACCTCCCCTGAAACCATGGGAGTCGCCTGCACGTTCGCAACAGGATCCTCCTCCTTCAAGACCCTCTCTAGGCGAATCTGCAAGACGGACTTTGCACCGAGCACGTCGCACCCTCGTCGCTGCAGCTCGTCTCGGAGCTGCTGCTTGGTCAACGCGGTCAAAGCTCCAGCAGACGCGTCCTGTGCCTCCCTCTTCAGCGCATCGTTCATCGCAATGTCATCTTCGGCCCCTCCTCGCAGCCGGAGCAGGATGCACGTGATAGTGAACACATCTAGGAGCGCCGACTCTCTCCCTCCGATGCATTGCTGGGCTCTGGCCAGCCCCCAGGTGGGATAGCAAACTCCAAACTTGGTCGACAACAAGAGCAGGAAGAGGCAGATCGACGATGTACTTCCCTTCAACAGTTTCCCAGCCCCCCCACTTGACCTTCGCCCCGTCAGCCCCCCCCCTTTCATGTCAGTCGTATTGCCTCTCCTGTGGATCTTGCCGGTTATCCAGTCTTCCTCTTCCTCCTCTCTCGCATTGACCATCAGGTTTCGCTGTTCCAGCCATGGCATGAAGTTTTCATTCCCATCCCTCCATCAAACAAGCTCTCCTCAGCCCCCCCCTTCCGCTCCCTGCGGCCACCATTGCCTCCGGCACTCGTTCGCCATATCGCGAATGAGGGCGATGAATATGAGCATGAGGGTAACGCGTTTGAGTATGAGGGCGATGAAGCTGGTCGTCCTTTTATCGAGCACCGGGGGAGGTCACTTAAAAGTGCCAAGTTTGTCGGGGAATGGCAGAGACTAGCTAGCGGCAATGGCGACGAGAGGAGAGGAGAGGAAGGGAAAGGAGGGGAGAGGAGAGGAGAGGAAAGGAAAGGAGAGGGGAGGGGAGGAGCGGAGGAGTAGGAGGAGTAGTAGTAGTAGTAGTAGTAGTAGTAGTAGTAGTAGTAGGAGTAGAAGTAGGAGAGGAGAGGAGAGGGGAGTAGGAGGGGAGGGGAGGGGAGGAGAGTAGGAGTAGGAGTAGAAGTAGGAGTAAGAGTATAAGAGGGGAGGCAGCTGCAGGAAGAGGAGAGGATAAGAGAGGATAAGGAGAGGAGTAGGAGAGCCGGAGACGGTAGTAGGAGATGAGTAGGATTAGGCGAGGAGGGGAGAGGAGGGGAGAGTAGGGGAGAGGAGGGGAGAAGAGAGGAGGGGAGGGGAGGGGAGGGGAGAGGCAGCTGGATGAATGCAGAAAAAACACGTTGGAACTTATCGTGAGAAAGGTGATGAAAAAGGATACAAATAAATAGAAAGAGAGGAATAGAACGAGTAGAACAAGAGGCTTCTATTTGTATGAGGGAGGGTGTGAGGGAGTGAGTGAAACAGGGCAGCAGGAGAGAGAGAGAGGGAGGGAAGTAGAGGGAAGGAGGGAGAGAGGTAGAGGTAGAGGTAGAAGTAGAGGTAGGGGTAGAGGTAGAGGTAGAGGTAGAGGTAGAGGCAGAGGCAGAGGCAGAGGTAGAGGTAGAGGTAGAGGTAGAGGTAGAGGTAGAGGTAGAGGGAGGGATCGAGGGTGATTGGGCTTCATGCCACTGCTCACATTGCGATCGTCGCTTTTCAGATCATCTTCAGACATGAATTGCGTGTTGTTGGAGCTCGTGGATCATATTGTGCGTCGACTGCAGGATGAAAAAGATCCACATTCTGGAAAGCAGCTGTGGATCGCGCTGGCGGGACCACCCGGCAGCGGGAAGTCGACGATCTGCTCGAAGCTCGTGAGCAGCTTGTCGGGTCGTGGTGTACCTGCCGCGATTCTTCCCATGGACGGGTGAGGACAGCAAGCTTAGCTGCGGGTCTTGTGACAGCGGTCGCCAGGTTTCACTACTATCGTTCAGAGTTAGACACGATGCAGAATCGCGAGGAGGCGCATGCTCGGAGAGGAGCGCACTGGACCTTCAACGCGCATAAGTTTGTCGACATGCTCGCTAGGATGAAGGACGAGGGCTCAGGTTGCTGCCTTGACTGGTTGCCTGCGGTGATGGACTTACAGGAAGGGCGCCGAGTTTTGACCACGCTCATGGGGATCCTGTGGAAGACGCCATCAGCATTGAGCGCGAGCACCGAGTGATTCTTGTAGAGGGGAACTACGTACTGCTCTACGACATCGAGCCTTGGAGAAAGCTGCAGCATCTGTTCGATGAGAAGTGGTGGGTGAAGACGTGATGTGAGGAGTATCTGAAGGTATAGCAGGTTGATCGTCTGTCCCGAGCACGTGCTGAGGGAGAGAGTCATCCAACGCAACTCAGTTGCATGGGGTTGGGATCGAGAGCGAACGGCACGTCGGGTGGATGAGAACGACATGGTGAATGCGCGACTGGTCATGGAAGTCTCGAGCAAGTATGCGGAGCGAGTCATAACCTCGCAGCAAGACGATGGCTGGTGTGGTTGAGGCCAAAAGAGGAGGAGGAGGAGGAGGAGGAGGAGGAGGAGGAGGAGGAGGAGGAGGAGGAGGCGACAGCGGAGGAGAAGGAGCAAGAGATATACCTGTGTTCAATATGGCAGAAGGAAGAGGGCGATTTTGGTAGAAGTTAGTGGAGGAAGAGGGACGGCGGAAAGAATTTTTCCTGCTTTCATGACACACAGGCGAGAAGACACCATTCATGGGGCGCTCAAGATATAAATGTTTTATTGCAAGCATGAATAGAAGCTCATTCCAAGTCCTTCGCTGGGATGTCGGAGCCATCGTCATCGTCATCCTTGTAGATGTGCGAAGCCTAATGGAACACAAAACAAGTCACATGTTCAGGCATGCTCGGCAACTCCGTCGTTTGCTCACCATCTGCCAGATTTGCAGTACACAGTTCTCGTCCACCGAGCCCACCAGCCAGGGGTCGTGAGGGTTCCAGCAGAAGTCTGTCACTTTGGAGGTGTGTCCTCCATGAACGAACTGAGCAGAGGGTGATCAGAAACAAAGTTGGTGAAGAGAGTGAGGAGGAAGAGGAAGGTGAAGAAGATGAGGAGGGCAAGGAGGGGTTAGGAGGAGGAGGGTGACAGCCATTGAATGATCTACGAGGGAGGAGGTCAAGAGAAAGGCATGCTGGAAGAGAAAGGAGGGATGGTGGATAATGCGGTAAGGAGGGAAGGGGGATTTAGGGAATGAAATGGGGAGGAAAACGGGGTCAAGAAGGGAGGGGTCAAGAAGGGAGGGGGTAACAAGGGAGGGGGTAACAAGGGAGGGGTAACAAGGGAGGGGGTTAGCGAGAAATGGTATGAGGAGGGGAGGGGCAAGGGGGAAGATTAAGAGGAAAGGGAGGGTGGAGTGTGATGGGAGAGGTCGAGGAGGGAGTAGGTAGATGATCGGGGTTGAGGGTCACCAGCAGTTCGGGCGGCCCGTCCTCTGCATCCTCCTTGCTTTGCTCATCGCCGATCCTGCTGATGTCCATGACTGCCACCTTCCTGTCCTGACCGCAGGATCCCAAGATGGTTTCGTAGGCGAAGGACCACTGGACCTGGATGACCTGATCGGTATGGCACTCGAAGGCATGCAGCTTTGCTGCTGTGTTGCGTAGATCCCAGAGGGCAACAGTCTGAGGAAAGATTCAGGGGAGGATCAGAGTCTGAAGGAGGAGAAGGAGGAGGAGGTAGAGGTGGTAGTGGATAATGAGGAGGTGGAGGATGAGGATGAGGAGTAGGGGAGGGAGGGGAATCACCTTGTCTGCAGATCCGGTGGCTAGGAGGTATTCGTTGAAGGGGTTGAAGGAAAGGCAGTTGATCTCAGCAGAGTGCGCGTTCACTTTCTGTGCTGGCTTCTTGTCCGCCATGCTTGTATCCCATCTGATCTAGCGGTCATGCGCTCAAGACTGCAGGCAAGAACTCACATCATAAGTTGGTTGTCGCCTCCGACCGATCCGAACATCTTCGGTTTCAGGATGTGCCATGCTACATCTTCTACCGAGCCTGTGTGCCCCTTGAAGACGCTGATGGGCTCAACGGCCTGATGATTCGAATGTGTCGCCTCCACGTTCCATAGACAGACGGTAGAATCTTCAGACCCGCTAAGAAGCATTCCTGCGTCTAACGTGCTCCACGAGATCCCATACCTGACGCGACAAGGTTGAGAGGCAGACCTCACAAGCACTTTCAATGTTCCTACCCTTCCTTGTCGTGCCCAACTAACTTCAGATCAGGGCTGCAAACTCCATCTGTATCTGGTTTTGCTGGTTGCTTGGTGTAATCGAAGACAAAAACTTCTGCCGATGGTGCCTTGGTTGCGATAATGGTTGGCTTTTGAGGCATGTATCGAGCCCTGACCATCTCAGCTCAGGGAAGTCAACAGCAACAGCTCAATCACCTCTTAACCTCTCCGTCATGATTTATTCTCTGGATGATTTCTACCCGTGCTCTGTTCGTTCCCTCCTCTACATGACAAGCAGGTCAGAACCATGGATACGAATACCGTCCACGTCTCACCGTCATCAACCACCATCTGCTCCGCATCGCCATCATCATCATCATCATCAGGTAGAATGACCTAGAGAGTATTAATCTGCTGTCTCTGACCGCTCGCGCGCTCTCTCTCCGTTTCTATTTACCTTTGCAAGCAACAAGTAGTTCTGCTCGGAGTCGCTGGTATCTGTTCCGATCAGCACTCTCTTCTCCTGCAACCCCTTCCCCGGAGCGCTGGGAAACAGTTATCATCCCTCATCCGCACGCATGCGCATGAGAAGCTCACTCGTATTTCTCTGGCAGGAACTGAACGGTCGAGCTCGGCGAGTCCAGGGCATGCGAGAGTACAACGTCATACAGGTATCTTGAGTTCACTTTCCAGTTCTTGTACTGTTCGTTGATGAACTTGTCTTCGAGATCATCATCTACACACGTTTCAGATGCATATAAACTTCTTGCTCCTGCAAGGTCTGATCGCTACTTTTCATTGCAGAAAAACCGACCCCCAGAATTTTGGCGGCCATGTACAACAAAACAAAGGATAAGACATGGTCAATGCTGTCGGATACACCGAGCCTCATTTCTAGAACACAGCAAAGCATATAATAACACCCCTGTATGACCTAGTAACATACGCGCGTTCTGCGCTTAGAATCCTCGAGTTGAAGGGTAGGAGGCGGGAGCAAGGAAGGGTGGGAATAAGAGGGCACAGGGGACATAGATTCAAGTGACTAGCGGTGACAAGCTGAATCAGAGCATGAGGGCCAAGGGACGAAGAGCAACAGTATGCCGATATGCATTCCCGACGAACAATCCGCCCCAAGGCGGCTCGGAACTTCGTGAGAGCTTTCTATTCATACATCCAAACTATGGTGATTCCTCTTTGTTTCTTTCTTCCGAGCTGAAGAGACAACTGATTGCAACCTCCTCAATGCATCTTTCTCCTTGAACCATTACATGCCCTCCTCCAAATCATTCCGCCCCCATCCCCCGCCCTTCTCGAGCTTCTCCCACTGTTCCTCTCATCTTCCCTACACCATTCTCGTCTCACTCACCTGCTCTATCTATCTTCCTCCTCCTCCTCTCTCCTCCTCTCTCCTCCTCTCCTCCCCTCTCCCCTCTCCTCCTCCTCCTCTTGCTCACCATCTTTGCTCATGGCGCGGAAGGTCTGATGATCCTGTTCCCGCCCTTCCCTGAGTCCATCACCCCACCCCATCTTTCACCACACCACCCACTTATCCTATAACCCTACCCAGTCATAGACCTTCTTTGTACCCCACCATTTACCTATTTCTCGGAAGTAGTTGTCGTACCCACCGTGGGATATTTTACATTTTCCATCCTAACCCCCTTTTGCCTTTCTACCCACCCTTCTTCATGTCATGTGGGTCACATCACCCCTACCCCTTGTGGACATTTTCCCGGATTCTTTGTTTGAACCACCGGTGTTTCTACCACCCCACCCCACTTCAACTCATTGTTCCACACCAGAGGCTGTACCGTTGCATTATCGTTACAAAGCCGTTATCTTACAAAACGATTTTGGGAATCTACACCCAGGACCCAGATCCCGAAGACTGCTCTACGCTCCTCCTCCCTCTCCCTCCTACCCCCCCCCCCCCCCACCGTTGTCGATGGTTTCACTCCCGAGGTGCTCTGGGATGTTGTACGCATCTGCCGGACGAGCAAGGACCCATGGACGCCGACGGCTGCGATCAATACGCTGCACAACCTGCTCTGCCTCGACTACTATGAGAAGGTGCTAAGAGATGGGGCCCTCGAGCTAGCCATCGAGCTAGACTGTAACGAAGAAAGCGCCACGAACGAAGTCGAAGCTGCGTGCGCTATGCTCCTGGATCTGTGCTGCTTCTACAAGATATCGAAGCAGGTTGCGGAACACGTGCAAGCTGTGTCGGGAATCTTCCCCTCGCTCTTTCCCTCATCGACGTGCAAGCGTTGGAACCGTAAACAGATTGTCGTATCCTTGAGTAGCCAACAGCAACTGTTACTCCATCACCACCCCATGGACAAGACGGAGGGG